TATATATATATATATATATATATATATATATATATATATTATTGTACCCACCTTGTTATCTAATCAAACTGGTCACCAATTATTTTATGAGGCTAGTAAACAACACCTACTGATAAATATAAAGTTTTATCGGTGGCTTCTGTGGAACAAATTTGATAAATATTTTATGTCACAGTTTCTGGTCGTCTGTTTGTAAAATAAGCTACAAATCTGTACAGATTAATCACCAAAAGACTCATCAATAGAGCTTTAGTGTTGCCTAGACATGGACATTACGTGAAAAGTAATCCCTCACCTCTCACTATGACAATTAGGGCATATTTTAACCAGAAACTGCTTCTGTGAGGCCATAAAAAACAAGAGTCAGGGACCCCGTCCAGAAAAACGTCAAACCTTGAAATTTACGACGAGTCATGCTGGACCAAGACAACGTCTGGGCACAGAACTCAATCTGTTTAAAAAACCATTTGGACTTGTGCCGTGTGTGTGGGGTGGTGCGGTCTTCCCCTGCTCAGTAAAAGGCTGGGCTGACAGACAGACCTATAAACAAGCAGCTTTTATCTCTGTGAGAGAGACATGGCAACAAAGAGCCCAGCTGCCTGGCCTCCCCAGCACCACCACCTCCACCATTCCTCTGTTTCCCCCTTTTATCTTTCCTGTCATCACCTCACAGCAGCGAAGAGGCGGAATGGGGAGGATAGAGGTGCGCTAAATCTTTGTTTTCTTTCTTTTCACTGCCTGTTCACCGGTAACCATTTTACTGTCTGGCTCACAGACTGAACGATGCTGCAGAAGCTGCAGCTACTGTATGAATGATTTTCTCAAGCAGTCTAAAAGAAATACTGACTTTTCTACTCAAATAAGTTGAATTACCTCTGTGATTCTGGGCACATTTGTTTCCATATGAATTTTATTTAAGAATTGCTGTTCAGTTTTCTTCATAGAGACACTTACATTAATTATACATCATTCTGCTTCCTCTGATAAAGAGCCTTTATAACTATTCTTTGCATAAACACACAGCTCTACCTTATAAATGATCAATTTCCACTTAGAAATAATGCAGTGCTTTCCAGATTCCACAAACTTTGCTAAAGCACCAAGATTCCTGCTGTAGTTACAGACTAGAAAGAGTTTTTCATGATCATTAAATATTATTTACCACTTAGCCACTGTTGACTAAGGACAGGTAGGTGCTTTACTCAATACAATTAACTTTTTTGCATCTAGCTCAAAATAAAACATGGGGCTGATATAAGATAGACAGAAAGCCGTAAAAAATCTGACTGAATCGATAGAGAATTTCAAGAAATTCTGATTCTTCCACATAAGCACAGTTACCATTAGTTAATGCACTGTGGGTTGCATAAAGTGCTGAACAGGTTGATTTAAAGCTGATGGTCTGCAAAGATGGCAAAATGACAAGGAATGTGGTCAGACTCCATAATCTAAAGGAAGGTGAAGGACGCCAAACAAGGAGGCAAGATGAATAGATAAAATCCTTATGCATAAAGTTAAGGAAGTTTTTCAATGCCGTATAAATTTTACTTGGCTTGACAAACTGCAAAAATCTCACCAATATGGCTTAAAACTGGAAAAACCAAGAGAGATACAGTTCAGTACCATACTTTTCGCTGTATAAATCACACCTTTTTGCATAAATTAGCATTCCCTGCGACTTATACAGCGAAGCGACTTATTTATTTATTTTCCCCAAATTTATAACCCAATTTTTGGCTGAGATTAGACAATTTCTTTAAATCTTGGAGCAAATGTCAAATCATCTGCATTTTGCTGCGCCAACCAGGAGAAATGCAGCTGATTTGACCATTAAAGTGCATTTATTAAGGAAAAGTTAAACTGAGACACACCTTTACTATAACGTTGAACAAAAAAATAATTGTTTTTAGGTTATTATCTTGGTAGATTTTGAAGAAATGCACAGCTCGTCCTCCCTCTGCGCTCCTGCAGCCGTGAATGGGCTTTTGAAATGCAGCTGAGTTGACTGTCAAAGTGCATTTATTAAGGAAAAGTTCAACTGAAATGCATCTTCGTTATAATTTTGAGCAAACAAATAGTTGTTTTTAAGTGTTAATCTTGTTAAATTCTTGTTAAAGTCCTCCCGTGCACGCTTCCGCGGCCGCCATTTGGCAGCCAATTGATTTTTGGCACAACACAGGCCCACGTTTTCAGGTGATCATCGGTGACGCAGAACAAATGCGACGCTTCAGCGGTGATGTATAATAGATGCAACTCATATGGCGAAGCGACGTATTTGGGTTTTTTTTCCCTTTATTAGACATATTTGTACTGATGCGACTTATATGGCGGTGTGACGTAAATGGCGGAAAGTACGATATTTAAACTAAGGAAGTTAAAGTTAAAAGATGTGCTGATTGCTAACAATATCCTTGTAAGCTGAATAAAGCAAAATAAAACAAAGATCTGGCAAAACTAGCTAAACATAAAACAGGAGTAAAGCCAAACAAAGGCCAATTCAAGAAACCTCAGATGAAATCCTGAACATCGTGACAGGAGCATCTGAGGGAAGTGTGTTAGTGTCACAAGAAGCACTTGAAATTGTAAAGGACTGGGAAATGGACCCATATTATGAGGGTGATCCTTTATGATATTGTGATGATGATAGTTTTTTTTTTATATAAATTACACAGCTCTAGAATAAATAGTGGTTTGAAAATAATCTAATTATATTCCTTTGGTCTTCAAAATGTTCAGATTTCAATCCGTTTGAAAACCTGACATGTTAGATCACAATCTCAGCCATCATCAGCAGATATGAACCATTAAAATTATTATGTTTAATCCCTTCACCGATTTTTACCAATGTGCACTGTAGATGTTCTTGTTATGTCTCGGCATCTTTCACCTGACAAGTTTTACATAAAGTCATGTGTCACCTCTTTGGATTCACTCATACGTACCTCCATTTTGTTTAGGGACACCCAGCAGTCTGAAGGGAAGTCCTGCAGCATGGGAACCAGGAACTGTAGGCAGCCGTCCCAGTGACACAGCAGCAGCATCATACCTATCAGGTTGATAATCCGCATCACCGCACTGGCCAGGTCATAGGTCATATGGAAGATCTGGATGACGTCCATGAAACAGGGAGGAGGTGTTAAAAATCAAACTGAAACGTGCGGCGGTGAAGACATACAAAACAAAACTGGGTAAACTGGCATCCTGCTCGGCTCTGCTGAATTTGAATAATGAACAGGAAAAGCAATGCACCATCATCTCCACCAAATCAACCCAGCAGGAGCAGGTGAGACAACTTTCACACAGATACATGACATCAGTCTGAGTCTCAAACGCTCACGCAAGCCCGCGGACACAAAGATACACTAACATCATCAGATATGTCATCACACATGCACACATTCACATGGACAGCGTGTCGGACAGGAACCATCGTGATCCTGAACAGCTGATAGTGTGAGTCGTCTCACGTCAATCATTCTCACTCACTCAGACCTGAACAACTTGAAGAATACTCCCCGCCTAATGACAAACAATAAAACTGATCTGTGTGTAAATGTGCAGCGGTTACATTAAAACGTGTGTGTGCTGAAGTCCACTCTGAAGGAAGTGGGTCGTTTCAGTGCAGCTGAGGGAGAAGTGATCCTTGGTGATGGGAGTGACGAGCAAAGAGGCTGGACATGAATCGCATGTGATGAACTTTCTAAATGCAGCTTTAACCTTTATAATGTCTTTACTGTCACTTTCTATCAGTCAGGAGCCAAGAAAACAGAGATTATGGTTGTGGGTTGTTTTTGTTTTTTTTCTCACCAGGAATAGATCAGAGAAACTGTACAGCCGTGTTGTTTTAGCAGCTGGAGATGTTCAGCACCACGGTCAGCTCCAAGAATCTCAGCTTTACGCTCCAAAACTTGGATTTTCTAAATAAGTTAGAGGCTAACTTGAAAAATAACACATTTGAACTGGATGTTTCCTGCTCGGGCCAGTGTCTTTACTCTCCAACTTATCTTACCCTCATTCTCCAGGCATGCCAAGCATCACTTCCCATCACGCATCGCTGTGTGTGCATGTGTGCATATCACATCATATCTTCAGAAATCCAATTATCCAAAGGTCACGTGAGCAGCCAAACCCACTGCACTGTTCACTGCTGTGAAATGCCAACACGTTAACGTGGGCAAAAATGAAAAGTCGACTGATCTCGTGACACTGCTGGACTGCTTGTGTTCCAGGTTGAACTTCTTTAGTTAAAAAAGAGAAAGACAAAAAAAAAAAAAAATGAGTGGCAAAGAAAGACAGAAGCTACGCAGCTAATTACAATAATTTTATTGTCCGAATGCTGAGGCAGCACTGACACTAACGTTTTCTTTTTATACCGTCTCCCATACATTTTCTGTAATCAAACTACTTCACGTATTTTGTGCTATTTTTACTCATCATGTATGAAAACGTTCGACTTGGGTGGGAACAGGGTGCTATGACTTTTGTGTGTGTAACTTTTATACTTTTCAGAAATTTTAAACTTTATTTAAAATAAAGTTATTTGCAGAAATAATACGCCTAAATTGCTTAACTTACTTCAAAAACATTGTTTTCTTTGAAACCTGCTTCAGCCTATACTTGCTCTATTTTTGTCTTCTTATGCTACTTTTCACTTTTAGCTCCTCTTTTGCTATGTGTGGCTTTTAGCTATCATTTGACTAATTTTAGCTTTTATCTAGCTTTTTGCTACATTTAACTTGTAGCTAGTGTTTGCTATCTATAGGTTTTAGCTTGTGTTTTGTTACTTTTAGCCATAGCCTATGATTTTGTTGTTTTCAGCTGTCCTTTTGCTACTTTAAGATTTTAGCTAATGTTTTGCCACCTTCACCCTTAAGCTACTATTTTACAACTTTAATCTTTTAGATACGATTTTGTTGCTTTTTGCTTTCATTATGCTCCTTTTAGCATCCATTCATTTTTAGCTTATGCTCTGATCCTATTAGTTTCTGTTTATCTTGTGAGCTCAGCCAATTTCAGTAAAATAATTATGTGCTGACACAGCATTTTCTCAGAAAATGCAATTACACAAGTTTTATTTAAATGTATTTATTTGCTAATAATGGATCCAAGCTGATATAGAATCTCTGTGTATTTACCTTTGTTTTATTCTATTAGCGACATATCTAATCACAGGCAATTGCCCCCTCCAGCGCTGATTATTACCATTATCCTCCACCTCACCTGCTCCTCCTTTGGCGCTTTAATTGATTAACTGTGTTTGCCCTGATAATAGGCTGCTTGTTAGACTGCCTGATGCCACCTGTAGGATCACCAGGACAGACTGCGAGACCGATCAAGGGACTCCAGTGACAGTGGGAGTGACTATAAAGCAAAGTTTGATTGTGCTTGAATGTCTTGCTGACTTCATATTTGTTTGTTTGTCTCCAGGTGGCAGGTGACAGCATCAATAAATCAGGAGAGTAGGCGACTTGGAGCAGACAGAGGGGCAGACTGTCGATTTGGTCATGAGCCAGAACCAGCATATTGGAGACAAATCAGTGACCTTTTATCACTAACAAGACAGGATGCGTCTTCCTCTGCTTCCTCTTTGTATTTGAATTGTGTTATTAGTAAGTATTTCAGTGCATTTGGTCGGGGGCAGACATAAAATGTGTTCTTACCTCTTCCCATTGGTGAATGTAGCGTATTAATCTCGAGAGCCTTAGGAGCCTCAGAAGACTTAGGATCTTTGTAAAGCGAACAATCCTCAGGGCCCGAGCCGTCTTGTACACCTCCGAGTCGATCCCTTTCTCCACTATGAGGAAAATGTAATCCACAGGGATGGAGGAGATAAAGTCTACAATGAACCACGTTTTCAAGTACGTTTTCTTGATGGTTTTAGGGTCCAAAATGATGTCAGAGTTGTCCTCAATGATGATTCCAGTGCGAAAGTTGAGCACCAGGTCCATGAGGAAGAAGGTGTCGGAGACCACGTTGAAGATGATCCAGGGCGTGGTGGTCTCGTCTTTGAAGAAGGTGATGCCGACGGGGATGATGATCAGGTTGCCCACCATAAACAGCAACATTGAAAAATCCCAGTAGAACCTAGCAGGTGTGTAGATGTGTGTGAAGTGTGCAGGATGGGAAAGGGAGGAGGAGAGGAACAAGACAAAAATAGACTCAGATAAGAAAGAGGAGCTACTGTGGAAACCTTATAGGCACAAGAGACTTTAAGCTGAAAATGGAAAAGTGTCTGAACATGCAGAGAATAATGAATTTTAAAAAAGCTGAAATTCAACATCTAAGTAGTTTTTGCCATAATTTTGGGGGGTTCTGATTTGACTTCCCCTTGGTTTGGATGTCTCTTTCCTGTATATCAGTATATTTAATTGTTTTCTCTGAATGTAACGTCTGTCTCACACACACACACCTGTGATTAGTCTGCAATCAGTACACCTGTTTTCACTCACCCCATCCAGTAAAGACAGACTTTCTGGTTTTACTCAGTCCTTGTCAGATTATCTGGTATTTATCACGTCTGCTCATTTAGCTTCTTGTTTCAAATTCCTTCTTTGGATAAAACCCTGTCTGTGACCTGCTTATTCACACTCTTGAGTCCTCACCAACTACCAAACAACAATATTACATCTGTCACTTCTTTTATTATCTTCACCCTTTTCCACCAGGAAAGCTGGTACCTACCTCCAGCAGTGATTGGGAGTGATACGCAGGACACCAGTCCATCAAAAGGTCCGCATCATGCTCACTCATACATACTGACAATTACCAGTTCACCTAACGACCTTGTGACTTCTCTAGCACTGCCAATGAAATGACCAATTAAAGCAAGACTTTTTTGTTCTGTCATTTCAGTTTAAAATCGAGTAAAAAAAATAAAATAAAAAAAAATTTAAAAATTGTTGACAGACATGTTGTGAGGTGACCTCTTTGTTTTATAAAGAGGTTTGTTAGATGATCATCCCAAATGAAAGGTCTGTTTGTTTCTTTCTTTCAAGATTCTTAATTTTACTCTGGAGCCAAGCTCATTTTGGGCCACGAAGTATTACATTAAATTTAAAATGTTAGAAGAGTTTGTGAAGAGTCGGTGTCCTTTGTTTGTGATTTTACTTCAACGCAGTGGTGCCTGCAGGTGGATGCAGCCAGGGGTGTTGGGGGGGTCTCACCCCTTCAGATGATGCTCTGCAGGACAGGTGCAGAGCTGAGTCATTACACTGCGACTTATGCAACAAGCTCTGATTCCTCCACTACTTAAACGATCATACTGGGTGCAACTTTGCTGCTGTGGTGCGTTCAGGAGACTCAAAAACATCGGAGAAGGTAGTGATTTCTCCTTATGTTGGAGCCTAAGTGGGGCGTCTTAAGTGACATGTCATCAAATTCTGTCCTTGATGTTGTTTTAAGTTTAGCTTTTACTTGAGATATAAGTGGGCCAGACGTGAATGGCGCTATGAGAGAGGAGGAAGTGGAGGAAGAGGAAGAAGAGGAGGGGGTGGGGGTTAAAAAGCGCCTAAACGCGCGACGCGTCTCCAAATGAGAGGGGAGCTGTCTGCTTCCCGGTGGTGCTGAAAGCAGCCGGGCCCAGCCCAGAGTAAAAACCTGCAGGTCTGCTAACCCCAAAACATTTCACTGATGGACCGAACGGGCTCACATGAAGCGCTACTGTCACGAGGAGCCTTTTCGGCGCGTGGATTCCCACCCCCTCACAATAAATAAAAAAATAAATAAAAAAAATCTGAATGAGGAAAATATCCGGATGGTCCATTTATGTTTACAAGCCGTCGTTTAATGGATCCGGGAGAGTCATACGGGGTGGGGGGTGGGGATGTGTCTCCAGTGAGCATGCTTGAGGTTTTCGCACACTTGGCTCAAGGTGACATTCCATTACTGAGTGCATCGCGCGCACAGATACGCTCACACACAGCCTGCATCCTCCTGTCGCAGACCGCACACACACCTTATTAAACCACCACATCCCTCAAATAAAGGCGCTATAGATCGAGCCTGAGCCGCCGGAGAGCTGCTGTCTGATAAACGTGAGATCGGGGTGGAATAGCAGGCCTGGCTTGACGAGCGCCCCAGACATGCTATTGTTCCGACTGGAACCGGATTTGTTTACAACCTTGAGAGGACACGCTTTGCTAAAGTCCGTCTGCCTGACAACAGGTTGTTTTGGGGTTGGGGGGGGGGGGGGGGGGGGTGCAGCCTCTTATCATGGTTCGATTCTCTGCAGACCCATTCAGGGAAAGGGATGGGAATCAGCAGCTGCCCGTGGTGCATGTGTTTCCTACAGTAAAGTAAGTTGTAGATGACAATGAGGACCCTCGCGGGCCCCTCATCACCTCCACCGTGCCACCAGCGACAGCCCCATCTCTTACCTGAAATCACTGTAAGGGTGGATAATCCAGTTTCCAGCAGATTTGACCCTCTCCTGCTCTTTTTCCACTGCTTTCTGACTCCCGTACATGCGTAAGGAGAATTTATTAACTCCAGGCTGCAGCATGCTGCTAAACTGCCGCTGCATGAAGCTGGCTTGGCTGCCTCGGGGTTCTGCGTCCTCGGCGGGCACAATTGGCGGTCCATCCTCCTGCTTCTGGAAAGTTACGGAGTTCCTCTGCTGCTGGGTCTGGGTCGGCCCGTGCAGCGAGGACGACGCTTTCCGGCTCGGCGCGTTGGAGAAGGACACCTTGGAGTCCTTTTTGTCAGGGACACCGCTGGACGCGGCGGTGGCCCCGGGGGTTGCGCTCTCCCCTCCTTGCCCTCCGGTTAGAGAGCCGCCTGGCGTGATGGAGCCGTCCATACTGGCGGTGGTCGAGTTACAGGCTCCCCGTTTGGCACCCCCTCCGTCGTCGGCTCGCCCCGGTCCCGCTGTTTGCTTCTCCTGCTTGGGGATGACTGAGCGCAGGCTCCCGGTGCCCGAATCTCTTCTGCATTCTCCGTTTTTGCTGCATTTCATGCTGGAAATGGGAGCGAACCCGCAGCAACCATCACCCACCGCCGTCGCGTTTAAAGCCTCTCCCGCGGCCGCGGATTCGGACGCCTCCGCCCCGGACGCTCTGCTGGTGTGTCCGCGGTGGGCAGCATCGCCCGGGCTGGGTGTCTCTGTGGCTCTGGAGGCAGCAGTGGGCCGTGAGGCGGCAGGAACGTCCTCTGCGTGCGTAAGGCAGGGCTCCTTGTTGGAGTTTCTCCTAGAAGCCGAGGACGCGGCTCCCCCTCCTGGCGTAAAGTTCTTCATCCTGATACTGCCGCCCCCTCCTCTTCCTCCTCCTCCTCCTCCTCCTCCGCTGCCGCTCCCCCCGGTTCGGCGCAGCCGCGCATGCTGGGACTTGGACTCTTCTCCATCCTCCGTCTCGTCCATCACGACGCTGCCGGTGACGCCGGGCTGCTCACCGCTCGGCGCGCCGGGGGGCGAACCGGGCTCCGCACAGTTCACTCCGCTGTCGCTGGTTCTGGAGCATTTGGACCGGACAGGCTTGGTTGCGTTGATGTGGCTGCCGCCCACCGCCTTCTTCTTCATGGTGGCAGCAGACACCGGGGACACCTCACCCCTGTCCATGACATTGAGCACATCAGATTTTGCTTCCAATTATCTTTGAAGAAAGGGGGTGGAGGGGGGAGAAGGGACAGGGAGAGTAGGAGGGACGGAGAGAGGGAGGGGTGGACGTGACTTATTTGCAAACTAATGCTATACCCTCAGGTCAAATGTCAAATGAAATGAGCCCCCTGTTTTGGGGGTCAAATATAAATATTTGCCCATTTTATATATTTTTAAAAGGCTGCTTCCAAATGAGGCCTCTGTGACTTCCTCTATCCAAATGGTTGCTGTTTGTCACCACATACAGCTGACCTGACATCCAAAGTTTGATTGCCACGTGTTAATGAGCATTGAAATGAAGTCATGTTTTGACTGTGACAAGTTCCTTTCATCACCCTAATCGAGAGTTTAGCGCCCTCTAGCGGTCATACCGATGGATGACGCTTCTCATACAAACCAACAGTGTCGGGATTTTCTCAGGTTCAGAAATTTAAGATTGTATAAGATGAAGTTGTGTCAGATATCTGGTTGTTTGCATCCTTTCCTGTAAAACAGACTTTTGTTTAGGAAGTGGTTCTTCATGATGACAAGAAGACGTATTCAAAGTTCATGCAAGTGAATGCTTGTACTCGTATCATTATTGTTTTCCCTGTCCATGACGACTTCTGCTTATTTTAAACACTTGTTTTATTAAATTGGTTGGTGTGCTTTTTTACAAAAATAAAATAAAATAAATCAAGAAGCATTTAGGCAAGAAGCCTCATCTAAAAGAAACATCTGAAGCATCACAAGAGAATCTATTGAGATTAATTGATCGATCTGGTCTGGCAGGAAAGCATCGTCGTCGTTAATTTCTGATCTTACAGCTAAATTAAATCTATTTTACCAGCATAAAACTTTATCTCACATTTATATTTCCTCAGTCTATCTGAGAGCAGGACAATGCCTAAAAACAAAAACACTACTACAAGTTAAGTTGTTAGTTAATTTCACTCATTTTGATTTGATCCTATGATGATTAATTGGAAACACTTAAAATTTTCATGGGAACAGCAGGACTTTAATTCTTAATAATTATATTCAAGAATGAATTCATTTAAAAAAAAAGTATCAAAATGAGAATTCATTTTATATCTTCATTGTAGATTGATTTAAATATATATTTTTATTATATCACCAAAAAGATAATAAGGATCAAGTAAACAAACATTTTCCTTAAATTTTACAATTTGTTAAGTTGGTGAAGTTGAGACATATTTCAAATTTGCATTATGTCATTTTTACTTTTACCATAAAATATTGAGGTGGTTTTACTCTAGTTAAACACAATAAGAACTGCACCACCACATTCTGAATGTATTTTTGTGCCATAGGCCAAAGCAGCATGTGCACAATCTTTACGCATCTAGGCCAAGATAATCGAGTGGTCACCTGAGTGGATGTAAATCAGTTTGCCTGTTTCCTCTGAACTAGTTTTTGTTTGCTTTGGCCACTACAGTTCTATATAGTGTAGAATAAAGCATCAGTTGCCATCTGTCAAATAAAACTTTCACAAAAGCTTAGAAAATTTGCAACATCTCAACTCAGTCTTTTAAATATATTTTGTCATCAATGCTGGGCGATCATGAGCATCATCTGTTGCAACTTTCTCCATTTACTTCGCTTCATCAGTTAAAACTTTGTAGCCGCAGTAGCTGGAAGATGCTTTGTATCAACAAACTGAAGACCAAAAGATGCAGCAACAACTTTGAAAACTAACAAGTGGCACCACTGACCTGGAAACATTCTGGTGCACAGGTGGTGACGGTACATCCTAATAAAGTTTGTTCATTGATCAAAGTGAAGCGTGCTAACCTATATAAGGAAGATGAAGTGATAACCTTATTAGTGTGGTGGAAAAAAGACACACATGCCCTGAAAACAAATGAGAAGGAAAGACTTTATCTAAGTCTTCCCCACAGTTTTAAAACACGCTGAACTTTCTGCTAATTACGTCTCCGTCAGCGCCCCTGCTCAGGGTTGTGCAAATAAAACACAGAAAACAAGCCGGCAGCTTCCTTTATTTGCAGTGGGTGGCAACACCTCATCTATTAATGCTTATAACTTTGAAAGCTTCACTAATAAAAAGTCATTTGTTATTCCGGTTGATTTCGTAGCTCACAGGTCTGTGCAGTGACTCACCCACCACCTGCTCCTTCATCACGGCTAAAAATGTCCAGGCTCTATGGGAATGTCTAATAAATAGATGTTTGTTTTACTTCCACCTAAAATGTAACGTAATGCTTCAGAGAGGTTTTATAAAACTGTTAAGAGTTTGTTAGTTTTGTTCCGGATATAAACGATTCTCTCTCTCTCCATGCACTATAAACTGTTCACAGTAAAAAAAAAAAAAACAATATGGGACCCACTGCATGTCAAATATTGACCAAGCCTACTATAGTTTTATCTCAGCAGTTTGACTCAGCGTATCGGAATAAGTTTCCATCTCCATCTTCTGCCGCTTTTCCATAGTCTGGTTGCGGAGGCAACAGGGTCAGGAGGGAAACTCAGACACGCCTCTCCTCAGCAGCACTCTCCAGCTCCTCCTCGGGCACATGGAGGTGTTCCAAGGCCAAAGAAGATACACAATCCCTCCAGTGAGTTCTGGGTCTTCCCCGAGGCCTCTTAATGTGACATACCTGGAAAACTTCTGAAGGGAGACGTACAGGATCAGATGCCCGAACCACCTCAAATGACTCCTTTCAATGCAAAGGAGCAACAGCTCTACCCTGAGCTCCTCATCCTGTCTCTAAGGCTGGCTACCCCGTGAAGGCCGCTCGTAACCAAGATCTTATTGTTTCAGTCATGATCTAAACCTCATGACCATAGGTGAGGGATGAAATGTAGACAGACCAGTGCAGTGGCGGCTGGCCAATAGAGGGTGTCAGGGCGTCGCCCCATCACTCACCACATTACCTTGAATAAGACAACAACAAAAAAAAATTTAATATATCCATTTACTTTTCAGGGGATGGACAGTGACACCTTTTGGAGAAACATTGCCTGCTATTAACCCCAAAATGTAATTTTCTGTTTCATTTTCAGACCTGAATGTTTATTTATGAAAATGTGTGTTTTAAGTAATCTCTCTTTAAGATAATCATTTGTCTTATTTGACTCTTTTGAAAGAGTAACTTTTAAAGGCAGACAGAGAAAATGGACTTTAGATTTTATAAAACATGACAGAAGTTAGGACCATCCCTCTTCCGTGAGGTGGACTAAAGTCAATCTGAAACACACATACAGTTAAGTTAAGTTTTACTTCTACTATAATCACTTCAACTTCAATCACTTCTTCTTCTATAATCACTGACTGAGGCTTCGTCTCATGAAGACTTCACTTGAGCTCAGAACTGAAGAAACCCAGTTTTCTGCACTGAACTCAGAGAGGAGAGAAGCATCCTTTCTGCACAGAGTGGTAAATCCCAGCTGACTTCAGAGCCAGTGGCCGGATCTTCGTCCCTCCAACGATGATAGGTGACTTTTGAGGAGACAATCCGCCTCTCAGTCACCGAAGCATCTCAGGTCTTGCTGGTATCATTTTAAGCAGCTGTGGAACATTCTGACATCTCGTTCTGGTGAGAGAGACTCCAGTGCATTTTCTGGTGATCATACATCATAATGACCTTATCAGACAAACTACAGCTCACATTTAGACACAATTTTAACTTCTCCACAAACAGAACTAGTCCAAAAATCTGCCTTTTTAAGTTTCACTGATTTGAATAATCAAGTAGACCTTTTATACAAAGCTATTTGTTATTCATTTGTTTGTTATGCATAATCTTCATCAGATATATCACAGATTATTATTTTTGTAATAAAATACATAAAATCAACTAAATTTGTGATTATTTTTGGCATATCTGTGTGTATTAACTGATTTGATGCCCTTTAAACACGAGAAAAGAATTCACGTTTCAGTTTACATTTAATTTGGGGTTAGAGACTGATTTTTCCTCTGAAAAGAGGTGGTGCCCATACACAACGAGGTTATTTGCATAATAAATGCATATTTTATGAGCTTAACTCATAACTGATCATTTATAATATATATCCAGCCCCATATCACTCTATATATATATATTTATTTTTTTTATTTTTTTAAAATCATGTAAGATAAATATTTTAAAGTTAATGATGAGTAAAGTTGTTTCATTTGTTGACAATGTCTAATTGGTGACGTATGCACCCTGGGACGCAAAAATGTTTGCCCATAGACTCTCATTAAAAGTTGTACATGCGCAATAGCTTCTCTTCAATACAAGAGAATAGGACCATTCTGGGGCGCACCTGTCCTGCGCTCAGAGCTAAATGCACAGAATGGATCGTGCAGTGACACTCACAACCAGGCTATGTGTGAGAGGCTAGCTACTGCAGGTAGGCTTTAAGCCACTGAAAGCCCTTTATCTAATGCCTATGTTGTCATTTCTTACTGATAAGCTTCTCAACTTTTAGATGTCTGTTTGTGAAAAACCTTCAGCTGACTGTGCATTCTAAAAGTGGAAACTGGTGAGCTTTGTTTGTTTCTGGAGCTAGCAGCGCTAGCTTCCAGGTGGGCTCTGTGCTAAATCAGTGCTATTGCTACAACATTTAATTGAATGTGCTTATAGAAAGAAATAATCATTAAACACTGACTTTTCTATACTAAATGATGGTATTGTTATACTATTTCTGAACACATGCCTGCATTTTTATTGATCTGGATAATGAAAAATAAGCCTCTTGCAGTAAGT